TTCAATTAATTGAAAATGAAAGCTTAGTATAACTTTTCATATATATTAATTAATATGTTACCGTTATATTTGTATATAATAGCATAATATATAAGGATAATTTCCAAACATAATTTATATTTCTTTATGTAATTAAAATAGTTGAACTTAATTCCCATAAAATTTTATTGAAAATAAGACTTTGTTTGCGAACATGCTATTTTAGTAATTTTTTAACTTTTTGGCTAAAAAATGAGCTAAAAAAAATTAGTTTGTTTGGAATGACTTTTTATTTTTTACGAAAAGATATGCAAAAAGTAAAAATAAAAAGGAATCTTTGATTTTTTGGTATAGTTTATAGGCTTTTTGATTTTTTTAGTAATTTTTTGACTTTTAAGCTAAAACAAGCACATGCCAAACGAGGCTTAAGTATTAGTAAAATCGTCATTAAAAATTATTTCCTTTTGACGATTTTTTTGTATATGTTGTTAAAATTTTTTAATTTAGTAACTTTTTCTTTTTTGTTACCATTTTTATATACTGTTACTAAAACTTACAATTAGTGACTTTTTTTGTGACGAATTTTTTAAATTGTCGCTAAAAATTAAAATTTAGTGACTTTTTTTTTAACAATCTTTTTAAATTATTACTAAAAATTAACAATTAATGACATTTTTTAATAGTATTTAATAAAAAAATTATTAATTATTATAAGATCTATTAAATAATAAATCCACCCCCTACATAAATCACCTTAAAATATTTTAAAGTTGCAAATGGCACTGCAAAAACATTGAATCCAAACGCAACAAACTTCAAAAGTATATGAAATTCCACCATGCTACAATACTTAATTATTAATATGTACGCTATATATAATATTTATTATATTTAAAGTTATTTTGTCAAACACATAAATAATTAACATAAATATTTACTATTCATTATTCATCAGTTATCCAGTCAATCAGATTCTCAATTAAACGTTGTGTAGTTACGTATCTTCAACTTTTTCGAAAGCAACAAACAACACTCATGTGCCTTCACCAACTAACTTCAGTCATGTCAGCTCCCCAGAGCACCATAGTCATTCAGCTTCTCTATAAAAGACTTCATCAGTCATGAAAAAGCCATTTGAAATTTTAGAAATTTCTCAAACTCTTTCTGTAATTTCTATTTTGTAATCTATATTTTGAAATTATGATTTCTAGCTTCTAGTAAATAATAAACAATTGTAAGGTACTTTTGATTTATAAAAATATTTTAAATTAATGTATTTATTTATTCTTAAATTTATAAAATAATTATGATATTACAATATTATTAGAATTCAACCCGACGGTTAAACTGATAATCCGTTCATCCAATCCTTCTTTCAATTTATTCACCAGTTCGATTTTTAAAATCTTACTATAAATTGCAGTTAGTTCCAAACACTATTTTCCCTTCCGGGTTGAGTTTCTTTCATGTTAAGATCTCAATATGAGAAAATTTGAGGGGTTTATAAACCCCACAACAAGTCTTGTTTCAATGATCTAAACCATTTATTTTGTAAGCCCCTCAATGTATATTATCCATAAAAAAAATTAATTCGATTCAATAATCATAATTATTTCATTTTATCATATTTGTTTATGAAAAAATGGACAATAAACATATTTTAGAAATAGACCATTCACTTTTTAGCAATAAATGCAATAAAATAAAAATATTATAATTATTGAATTGACTTATATTTTTTTATAAATAATATAAATTACATATCTTATAAAATAAACCATTTGAATCATTGAAAGAGAACTATAATAAATCTTAGGGGTTGTTTGAGATAATCTAAATAAGTGTACTTTTTTGACTTTTTATGAAATATAGATTGAGTATGAGTTGAACTTGAAGTGATATGATAGAAAAGTGATATGACTTAAATAAAATAATGTGATTTAAATAATATAATAACTTTTTAAATTTTTAACCTTTTAAGTTAAGATAAACAAGGCCTTGCAGACTTAGGTTAAAATCTCAGACCCAATATCCTTTCCTAAATGCTCTTTCTTCTCTTTTCTTTTTTAAACCCTAATCTCATTCGATTTGGTTCCAAACACGGTGTTAACTCCCAAAACCCCAAGATAAAACCCCAATCTCTCTCTCTCTCTCTCTGAAGCACCAGAAAAATGGCGGACGTGATCTCAATCGAGGTAATTAGGGAGACAGCTTCTAGCCTCGGCATCGGCCTTTCTGGAGTCGATTTTGACTCTCTACGCCTCCCTCCCAATGAAGACTTCGGAATCAAAAGGTCAATTTTCAAAAACCCTAAACCATGTATTTAGAGATGGTTTGAGAGGTTCTAAATAAGTATATTTTTTGACTTTTATAAAAGAATGTAGAAGATTAGAAAAAATGGGTAGAAAAATAGAGATGAGACGTTGATAGATGTAACCAAATAAGTGTATGTATGTAAAAAAATAAATGCCAAACACCTATTAGTATTACATCTACATAATCATATACATTATATATCTTTGTAAAGTATAATAATGTCGAAACGCAATTTCACCGAGAATAGATGTTTGAATTTTTTATTTTTTATTATTATTTTTTTTTGTGGTGGTAGTGATGATGAAGATTTCAATGAGGATAGTTCTTTGGAATTCGATGCCGGGTTTGGCAACATAATTGTTGTTGATAATCTACCTGTTGCTCCCAAGGAGAAATTTGAGAGGCTTGAACGTGCGATTCGCCAAATCTACAATCAGATTGGCTTCATTAAAGAAAATGGGTTTTGGATGCCTGTTGATCCTGCAACTGAGGAAACTCCTGGTTACTGCTTCATTGAGTACAACACTCCTCAGGTACTATCTTTGTTTCTTTATCCACTCTATGTATATTGAATGTACCAATTAACAACTAAAAAAATGTCTCAATTAATTTTCTTTCAATATGTTTTATGTGGGCAAATTTGAAAACAACTTTTCAAAATTAAAAGGGGTTGTTCCTGTGTGCGAATCTTGGCAATCACTTGTTCTGATTCTACATATTGATCACTTTGAACTAAAAGAAAACTTTTTGATGGAATATTCTCATTATGTATAATATCTTTGATGTCAATAGTTACATACAAATCTATAAAACAGATGCCATGAGATGTGCGTGTTGGATGAACCAAATTTTCATTTGGGTTTTATTTTTTCTTTTTCCCATTATTTTCATGTATGTAATAGTGTGAAAGAAGGTTTAGCTCGAAGTTGTTAAAAAATAATTGTGTGGAGTTTCTCTACCCTTTGACTTAGGATTAGTCACTTCTATTTCTCGATGGAGGCAGCAAAGGGATATAACTCAAGGGGGGGTCAAAACCTCCTCATAATAAAACTCTAATGCATTAAAGACAAGCACATAAAGTTTTCATTGAAAAGTTCAACATATACCACTATTATCAAAATATTAAACTTTAAAATAATATAACTTTTGATGTAGATGTTAGTTTTTAATAAAATTAGTATTTTTAGAATCCTCTCATCAAGATCTATCAAATAAAATCTATGTTGACTATGAAAATCTTAAAAAAAAAAAATTATTACCGTCAAAATTGATGTAAACAGGTAATATGTTACTTTGGCAATATTGTTCAAGGAAAAAAAAAAAGAAGATATTTTACTTTGTCCTTAGTCAATTATGTGTTTTCTCCTTGGGGGTTTATGAAGCAAAAAAAATTGAGTTGTCCTTTTCGCCAAATAAGGATTGAATGGAGGAGTTTTGGCTAAATTTCCCACAACTCAACCGTAGAGCTATGAAGCACGGACACAGACACGGATACGGATACGGATACGGACACGGACACGGACACGGTACACGGCAATTTTCAAAAAATGGGGACACGGACACGGCGGGGGACACGGCGAATTTTATTTTATTTATTTTATATATTTTTATGTGTTATGTAGATTCATATTACATTCATCCTAAATTAAAATTAACAAATACTAACATAATAACATTAATTGAATAAACATAACCATTACATTTAAACAAATTAATAGATCATCCATTCACAAAAAATTCACAAAAAAGTCATAATAAACGATAACAAGAACTAAGACGAGAAGGGGAAAACATTCAACATCCAACAATATTTTTCACAAAAGTACTAAATAAGAGAGGCAAAAGATTAAAAAAATAAAAAAAATTTAAATTAAAAAAAATAAAAATAAAAATAGCCCTGCCGTGTCCCCGCCGTGTCCCATGCCGTGTCCCCATATGGACACGCGTGTCCCCGCCGTGTCCCTGCCGTGCCCCCTGCAAAAAAAATCATTAAATTAAAGGGACACGCCATCTGGCGTGTCCCATACGTGTCCCCGGCGTGTCCCCGTGTCCCCGGCGTGTCCCCGTGTCGGACACCGCCACGGCACTAATTTTGAAGTGTCCATGCTTCATAGCCGTAGAGTGTTACCTTGACATGGTGACACAAGCAATGGAGGCCTCTTTGACATGTGCAATGTCTTCGATAGCATGCTCTCACTTTGTCTTTCCCTTAGTAACTCATTGAATTTGGTGCTTTTTGATCCCTAGTTTCTATGGGAAACAAAGGGCGAATAAAATTGATTTCTCCATTTAAGTGGTTCCCGCTTCTCTTAGTTACTGTTCCTCACTATTTCCCAGATTGTTCCCAATGTTTGGCTCTTTCTGTACTTTATGGGTGCAACATCAACAAATTCCCCCATGATGAAGTTACAACCCCAAAGCCCTAGTGATGAAAGCAATAATTTCAAAATTTTAATGGAAACACACACACACGCGCACACACACACACACACATACACATATATATGTATATTAAAAACTATAGGTAAAGCTTCAAAAAAAAATTCAATACTCAGTGGGGGCAATTGCCCCTTGGACCCTATGTAGCTTTGCCCTTGTGTATAGACAAGTATATATGACATTTTGAAATAGGGCAGTTACATGAACCTTTCTTGAGGTATTTGATTACGAGGACCTCCCATTTGGTTTTTTAAATTACAATGGCCTCCTATATTTCTGTTGACAATATGAGCATACCTTCCTTCTGTTATCTAACTATTAAAGAAGGTAACGAAAATTTCTTACGTTATTAACTTTTGGTCTCCATATATGGAATTTACCTCTATTCCAAAAGACCCCAGCCCAATATTACCTTCACAACCAAACACCCATCTCATCCTCTCCTCCTCCTCCTCACCCCTCCTTACATTAGCTATGCCACCACCACCACCTCTTCTATCAAATCCACAACACCACCACCACCACCTCTTCCTTCCTCTCTTTCTGTGAACTGCAACACCGCCACAACCTCAGCCGTTTCACCCTAAATTTCCCTTCCTAAACACCCCCACTATACTCCTCTGCCACATGAATTGCTTCTCTCTCTCTCTCAAAATCACCTCCATAAACCCACTACTACCCTAATCGGAGGTTATCCAGCCCTTCAAAATTTGTAGTTAAATTTTGGCAATGGGGATGTCCATCAAATGTTCGATAAATTGCTTGAGCTATATTGTGTTTCTAAGGTAAAAAACAATTCTCTATCTTGTTCAAATCGATTTATTAATTCATGTATCAGTGCATAAAATCCATCACCACTGTTTATTGTGAACCCACCATCACCTTTCTCTCTCTAAAAATTCCTAGAAAAGAAAATTAATTCCCATGAAAATCAACAAAGACCTATATCAAGTTGTCCCATTTGGTTTAACACTAGCTCACTGTTACATTCAATATTATTTATTTATTTTAAAAGTTGATTTAAGGAGACTGATTCTCCTTTACTGCATGAATGCAGCCTATGCTGCCTGAGTTATTTTCTTTGATACATAGGTATGTAATTCATTGCACGTCATATGATGTGATTTTCTTTGATTTTCCATTGTAGGAAGCTGAACTCGCTAGGGAGAAGACTCACAATTACAAGTTGGACAAATTACATATATTTGCTGTAAGCATGTTTGATGACATTGAAAAGTTTATGAAAGTTCCTGATGAATGGGCCCCTCCTGAAATGAAGCCATATGCACCAATAGTAAGCATTTTAACGGCTTTGCCTTATGTTTTTCTTTTCCATATCTGTCTTTGTTTTTTCCACTTCTTGTTATTGACTGCTGCTGTTTTGGACAGTAAATTCACTTGAATGGTAAAATATTAATTGCCTACTGGGATTGTAAGTTTGTAACTTTGTATCTTGCATTCATGCTTGATAAATCCTAGCTGCTATTGAAGTCGTAGAATGGCGGCAATGTATATTCAGAAAGATGTCTTTGAATCATATATTTGTCTTTGGGATCTCCTACCATTTGATTTATTTTTATATTGATTGATTGAAGGGGTGCTACCTATTGTTCTTTAGTTTGTGGATGCTAAATTCTTCCTTTTAACTAATTGCACAGAAGTTGAAATTTTGGGCAAACTTCTATACCAATATATTGCCATATCAAGTACTGGACTTTTTTTTCTTTTTTCTTTTTTAACCCTCTCTATATATGTTTTACAGCTCACATAAAGGTTTAGGAAAAATTTACCGGCCACAATTATTATGAAAGACTGGAAGTAAAAAGCTATACAATTCAGATTCTCCCCCACCTTTTATTTGAGAGGCTGATTCTTGTGAACTCGAACCATAAGGCTCAAGGCGGACCGCATTTGCAGTTTGGTTATTAGATTTGTAATGATTAAAGTTCAATGGGGTTCTGTGTAGTGGTAAAGTTTAATTTTTCCGCTTAAGATAATGGATCTTTAGGTTAATTGATCACAAATTTAAAATTCAAAATTTTTCTTTATTCAGTTTTTGTGATTAGGACAGCCTGAATAATCTAAACTAAATGCTTCTTCAAACAGTTTTACTATTTTCAAGTGTGTGAGCAACATCTGGTCCAACTTCTTGTTGGAATTCGTTGAGACCATATTTATATAAGATTGCTGTGGCTTTGAATGAGTCATGCTTTTCTTGTTCTATTTTCGTTTTCTCCTTGAAGAAAACTCAACTTTATTACTCTGTTTTGGAACTTTTATTTGTAGTGTCCTGAACTAAGTATAGTCAGATAATCTGTTGACAGTTAATTGTTTAGACATGCGTCATTGCTAATACCGCAAATCATGTACTTGTTCGTGTTTGTTTCATTGCATGTGTGTACTGGCATGCAGAATGTTTCCCAAGGGTTTTTTTTAAAATGCTTACCGTCTATCCTTGTATATCTTTACAGGAAAATCTGCAACAATGGCTTACTGATGAGAAGGGTAGAGATCAATTTGTTATTCGTTCTGGTTCGGACATGGAAGTTCTGTGGAATGATGTGAGACAGATGAAGCCTGAGCCTGTTTACAAACATTCAGTAAGTTGGTCTTTTGTGTACTAATTTTTCTCGCGAACTTAATTAACTCTTGTATTGATGATCCACTATGTGTGAGATTGTCTGCGCTGACAAAGGAACAGTATGTCCCATTCTAAATTGTGAAAAGAGAATAGCTTGGTTGCCTTACATGGTGTTTACTTTGTTAACTTTGTTATTGCGACTGATAAATTAAATACATTTTTCTTTTCTGGTAAAAAAATGTTTAGTTGTACAGAGTGATGTTATGCATATTTTCTTTGCAGCATTGGACCGAAAATTTTGTGCAGTGGTCCCCTCTAGGGACTTACTTAGCTACTGTTCATAGGCAGCGTGCTATTCTTCGGGGAGGTACCAACTTCATCGAGTTTATGCGTTATGCTCATCCCCAGGTTATTTTTCCATTTGTTTAGTATTTTTTAAATTGCCCTTTTTATTGTTAATTTTTGGGCTGATATGTAACTTTAGTGGTATTAGCTGCAGGTAAAACTGATTGATTTTTCACCTAGTGAGAGATTTTTGGTGACCTATAGCAGCCAGGAACCAAACAATCCTCGTGATACTCATGTGAGATTTTCTACTCTGCCATTATCATTTTTAATTTTTATGCCCTTGAGGCATCTCTAATCTGAGATCATATTACCAGATGGTGGTGTTAAATATTTTTGATGTGAGGACTGGAAAAGTGATGAGAGATTTCAAGGGAAACGCAGATGAGTTTGCAGTTGGAGGAACAGGTGGTGTTATAGGGGTGTCGTGGCCTGTTTTCAGGTAAGTTTTCAATACTATTTGATTTATATGGATGTTTTGAGGTTGTCCTCATTCACTTGTTTCATGGATTTTCAGATGGAGTGGAAAAGATGACAAGTATTTTGCTCGAATTGGCAAAAATGCGATCTCTGTCTACGAATCAGAGACGTTTTCTCTTATTGACAAGAAACCCATAAAGCTCGAAAATGTTGTGGACTTGAGTTGGTCACCCACTGATCCCATTCTTGCACTCTTTGTTCCTGAACGTGGCGGTGGGAACCATCCTGCAAAGGTGAGCCCAAATGTTTAATATGCAGAGGCCCTTCTCTCTCTCTCTCTCTTTTAAATTTTTTTTATAAATAATTTTAGAAAGTGAAAGTGCTGATAGTCTGCGTACTTTTCACAGGTGAGTCTTATTCAAATCCCAAGCAAAGAGGAGTTGAGGCAGAAGAATCTTTTCAGTGTTAGTGACTGCAAAATGTATTGGCAAAGCAATGGGGATTACCTTGCTGTTAAGGTTGGCCGTTACACAAAAACTAAGAAAAGCACATATACTGGCTTTGAGCTTTTCCGGATCAAAGAACGGGACATACCTATTGAGGTTTTGGAGCTTGAAAACAAGAACGACAAGATTATTGCATTTGCTTGGGAACCAAAGGGCCACAGGTTTGCTGTTATCCATGGTGATAACCCTAGGCCTGACATAAGTTTCTACTCGATGCGTAGTGCTCATAACAATGGTTGGGTTTCAAAGCTCACAACTCTAAGGGGAAAGCCAGCTAATGCTCTTTACTGGTCACCGGTTGGTCACTTCATTGTCCTTGCAGGGTTGAAGGGTTTCAATGGACAGTTGGAATTCTACAATGTTGACGAGCTTGAAACCATGGTGATGGCTGAGCATTTTATGGCAACTGATATTGAATGGGATCCTACTGGAAGGTATTTTTTTTGAGAGAACTTTGTGTAAGCAACAAATTAGAGGTGATCGAAACGATAGACTTTTGCTTTATTTGCTGAAATGAATTTATCTTGTTATTTTGATCAAGTTGTTCGCATGTATCTGGCAGGTATGTTGCAACTTCGGTTACTTCAGTACATGAGATGGAAAATGGTTTCAACATCTGGTCTTTTAATGGTAAGCTACTGTATCGGATACTGAAGGACCGCTTCTTCCAGGTAATATTTTTGACAATTAATTTTAAAAAATTTCAGCTTTTGTTCGATTGCTTTATCTTTTATGTGTTGGTAAATAAAGCATTACGTGATTGCTTTGGATTTACTGATATGGCTTTGCGAAGAGCTGATTTGAGAGGATTGATCCCTGTATTCCTCAAAGGCTTATACTGTGTGTTGACAAATAAAGTGTTTAATATGATATTAGTAAAATAAAAACTTTTGCGGGGTCTGAAAACGTTGTTATGGGTATAATATTTACTGCAAAGAAATAATGTATAGTAAATGAGTCCGGATTTGTTAAAGTTGAAGATCTCAATTTCACGGTGGAGTCGGCTCATTATTGGATTAACTTGGACTTATTTCGGTGATATAATCCGTTCAACCTATACAACTACTTAAGAAAATTATCCATTCAAAAAATCAAATTAATCCAATATTATCATACTATTAGATCATTTTTACTTATGTCTATATGTTTTTAAGAATATACTATCCATTTGTTATAATATATATGATTTGATCAAATGATTGCTTATGTCTGATCAATTTAATTTTTTGCATGCATGTTCTCATCTTGTCATATGAGATCTTCAACTTTAGGAGAGCCAAACTCGAAGTTAATGGGGTTATGTGGCAAAGAAATGCAATATGGTGCTTTGTCAAAAAAATAAAAGAAAAAAAATAAATAAACAACAGCCACGCACGCCCAGACTGCGTGCATTCTCCCATCTCTAGTTAACTATATTTGGCCTCTCTTTTGGCGGGAGTGTCTACCATTATTCTTGTTTAAAAGATTCATCTGATTAATATACTAATATGATACTAGTGAGAATTTTTAATTTTGATCATCTTTGTGTTTGCTAATTATGTCATGGAGTGAGAATGAACCTAGCAAAAATTGTAATAGCTTGGAATATTGCAAAACATTTCCTTGGGGTTGCATACAATTATGATTTCTTTTGTATCCATAAAGTCAATATATCATGGAACTAACCATGCTAAGGTTTTTCCTGTTGATTGTTGCAGTTTCTGTGGCGGCCGAGGGCCCCATCCATCTTGAGCATGGAGAAAGAGGAGGAAATTGCCAAGAACCTGAAGAAGTATAGTAAGAAGTACGAGGCAGAGGACCAGGATATGTCACTGCTATTGAGCGAGCAGGATCATGAGAAGCGAAGGATGATGATGGAGGAATGGGATAGATGGGTAGACGAATGGAAGCGATTGCATGAAGAAGAGAAGCTGGAGAGGCAAAGGCAAAGAGATGTAGAAGCCAGTGATGAAGAGTATGAGGTGAAGGAAGTCGAGGTTGAAGAGTCGTTGAATGTTTCAGAAGAGGTTGTACCTGAACAGGATCATATCCCAATTTGCATAGCAGCTCCAAACGGGGGTTTGGGATTACGTAGATGAATCATTAATATAAAGGGGTACTTAGGGGGCCGGTTTTTATTAGTTAGACTTATTTATCTACAAGTTTTGATTGATAAATTTAGAATTGTAAATTTTTTCATTAATATTTATTATTCTTATTCTCATTCTTATTCATATTTACTCACTCATTTACACTAATCCATAATCATTTGCCACATACACAAAAGAATAAGAGATTGATAAATTTTAAGTTGAATTACGTTAATAGTCTTTATAGTTTGAGATTTGTGTCATTTTAGTTCCTAACTATCCAGTTGTGATGGATTTAATCTTGAATTTTGAATTTTGTTTCAAATAAGGACAATTAAAGATATTATTGCTTAATTTTAAGGGTAAAATTGTTAATTTGATAAAATATAAATTAATTTGACAAAAATAAATATTAAAAAAATATTTTTAAATTTTTAAAAATTATTTATACTCACAAAAGATAAATTATGTAAAATTGATAAATTTTTTAGACATTTATTTATTTATTTATTTTACTAAGTTCAATTTTTATTATGTGTTTGGATGAGATTATGTAATGGGTAGTTATTTTTATTTTCATTAAATTAGTTTATATTTTTTTAAAAGTAAAATATGGCGACGACTTTGATATCATTATTAAACCAATCCGTTAAATCAAAAAATTCAAAATTTAAAACATTTTGTATATTAAATAAATCGATTACACATTAAAATCCTAATAACCACCCATTACATGATCATCATCCAAATACATAATAAAAATTAATTTAGTAAAATAAATAAATAAATAAATGGCTAAAGGATTTATCAATTTTATATAATTTTATCTTTGGTAAATAATTTTTTAAAATTTAAAAATATTTTTTGACATTTATTTTTGTCAAATTAGTTTATATTTTATCAAATTGATGATTTTACCTTTGAAATTAAGTAATAGTATCTTCAATTGTTCTTATTTGAAACAAGGTTCAAAATTTATGGTCAAATGTGTCACAATTGAAAAGTCAGGAATTAAAGTGACACAAACCCCAAACTATAAGGATTGTTAGCGTAATTCACAAACAAAGGAGGTGGTGATGATTTGTTGGTTGTGTCGATCAACAACGATGGAGTGTAAATCTATGACGGTAAAGTGTAAATTGGTGATGATAGAGAGCAAATCTAGGACAATAGTAGAGATAGTTGTTGGTGGTGGTGGTGGTAATGGTGGGTAAACGGCGAAGACGATGGCTGGTGGACAACGGCGACAGTAGACAATGGTGATATAAAGTTTTTAAAAAAATAGTGGAGAGAGAGAGAAGATAATGGAACGACGACGATGATGGTGATGGGTAGCGGTAGTGACGGGTGGATAGCGGTGGTGGCGGTATACAATGGTGTGGAGAGAGAGATAGAGAGAAGAAAAGATGAAAAAACTTGATAGGTACAAGTATTGTAAGAGTTATTGGTGCATTTAAAAGATTAATAAAACTTAATAGTATTTAAATTTATTTAATGGGACAAGCTAATAATTGCTCATAATATAAAAATATAGACCATGTTTTTCTCTAGTTGGGTTTTTCAATTGGAGCGTTCGGTCTTCGTGGGCCTATCACGGGGGCCACATCGATAATTCGAACCGTTGAATATTTAAAACTTATCGAGTACTTCATTCTTATAAAAGATCACGTTGATTGAATATCAATTGTCACTTGATCATATTATATTTGTGTAAACAAATTATTTTTAAAATCATAATTACCATTGACACAAATTTGATATAATCAAATGACTATCGATATCTGATCAATTTAATTTTTTACAAAAATTAAATACTCAACGAACACTAAATATTAAACAATTTAAATTATTGACATAAATTCTGTGATGGCCCACAAAACCCAACCGCACTACCCAATTTGATTTTAAACTACACAGAAGCCAAGATCTAAAAATATCCACCATTGTATGGAATTCTTATTTGGTCTGATGCGACTGTTTATAATTATTTCATTTCAAGTCAAATCATTGTAATTCTTGATAGCTAAATATATATAAATTAGGTTAAATTATAAATACATTTTTTTAAATTTGATTAAAATATAAATTACTTTTTATAATTTTAGAAATTACATGGCTAAATATATATAAATTAGGTTAAATTATAAATACATTTTTTTAAATTTGATTAAAATATAAATTACTTTTTATAATTTCAGAAATTACATTTCATCTTTTGAGGTTTCTAATTTCATAATAAATCGCATCTTTTAATAAATTATCAAGTCCGTAAATAGTTTTTAATAATGTTAAAAATATGTTTTAATTAATAATTTAAATAATTTTATTTGTATAGGAGAACAATTATGAATTTTATTTTTTTAATTAATTTTGTTAAATAAATTTTTTTAACAAGAGAGTATTTGTAATTCTACAGGTGACAATCTGTACTTTAAGCAAATCTCAGGAGATGTATTTATAATTGACCCTATAAATTAAGGTCATGTTTGTTTGGTTCTTTGAGAAGGGAGATTGGACTAATTGTTCGTAAAACTCATCTGCAAGGTGTTTGGTTATGGACATGAGCGATGAGATTAACTATCCATTGGACTATAATTCTTTCATTGGTAAGACTACCAATCCCATGGTGGGTTTGGAATTAGAAATTGAGTGAAGGAATTATTGAATTTTTAAGTAAATTTTCAATAAAATTTATATTTTTTAAAATAAAAAATAATAATTATAATATTAAAAAATAGTAAAAATTATTATTTTATATATTAATATTATCCATAATATTACTAATCGGTGGCATATAAATAAACATTTTTTATCCTACATTTTTAATTAATCTCACTGTACTCTTAATTCTTTTTCTCTTATGAAACTAAACAAACGTGGCCTAACAGAATGGGCATATGGCTTTTTCTTTTTCTTTTTTTTCTTTTGAGAGTAGGATAATATTTATATAAATTAGAAACCATTGACAGACCTAGCCAAGTTGGGCGTGTCGTGAAAATAATAAATTGAGAGTCAGGCAGTTGCAGAACAATTTGGAAATAAAAAAAATGTACTAAAACTTCATTACGTTGTAGGCTAATATAACACAAGAAACATATATTGGAATAATTATAACTTTTTACACTTTTAACTTTTATGTGTTATCTTTTATTAGCAATAATTAAATTCTAAACTTTTAAACATGTTTTTCAGTGTGGTGCACCTATTACCTCACATCAAGTTAAAATTGAAAAATGAGAGACCAAAAATAAAATTTAAATAAAAATTAGGTGCATAGTGTAATTTAGCCTACAAATTTTTAAGAAAAATTCAGAGAAATTCTATTTCCACACACTCATCGACCTCTGTTTACACACTTAATGATTTATTTATTTTATTACAATTTTACCCTAAAATAAAATTACTAAAGAGTACTTATCTTTCCCACCAAAACTCTAATTTCTTCATCTTAGAAAGCCGGTGGTGCATATACAATAGGGTTTGAATTGCCTCCTCCATAGCCAATTCTGCAAATGGGCATCGAAGACTTTGCTTGGTTTTGCAGATAGTTCGAACCCAGATGAGAAACAGCGAAGAGCTTGATTGCTGTTAGAGACAGAGCAAATCCGTGCATGTTCATGAATCAATAATCAGTGATATCGCAACCGAAGAAGACTCCATCAAGGCGTCATCTTGTGGTTGTGGACAATTCCAATCTATCGATCGTGATAGAACACACTTTGATCGTTGTTGAATGGATTCACCATTGTTGACATTGGATTGAAGATGGAACCGAGAGAGAGAGAGAGAGAGAGAGAGAGAGAGAGAGAGGTGTAATGAACTTTCAGACCATAGCAGGGAAGGATGGATGTTGGTTTAGGTTTCAATGTCAAAGAGGGGTTGTTGGAGGAGACGAGGGTAATATGGTATTGTATGAAAATTGGGATTGTGTATTGAGATTAAATCAATATATTTAATTTGTGTGTGGTGTATACTGAGTAAATGATGTGTATCGAGGGAATTGTGATGTGGAAATAAAATTACCCGAAAATTCACTTTGTCTATATGTGGTTGAGGTTATTTACATTTTACCCCTTGTATTTCAATAATAGACAAATAATTTTTATTTTATTTATGATTTTGACTATTTTACACTTTGTTTTGTACGGTTAAAAAAATCATTTAAACGAGTGAAAATAGGTTAACATGCAACAAGGTCAAAAGTGAAATTTAGAAACCAAAGGGCAAACGTGTCTTTTCCGCATTTTTATAAATTTTTTTCATTTAAACTCTAACTACGCTAATTATACAGATTATTATAAATATCATTCTATAGATAATTAAAAATCATGTTAATTATGCGCATAATTAATATTTATTTAGAAATTGACATATTTTAGTTAATCATACATTATTATTAAAATTAAATTATAAATTTGTTAGGCATTTGACTTAAATTTAATTTTAATTAAGCTAATGGCCTATTTTGTCAACTGTATTAAAAATCAAATTTTCAGTTTTTTGGTTTTTTTAGATCACAGAACCTCATTATTTTTTTGCACATTTTTTTAAAAAAATCATAAAAAATTAAAAAATTAACTTTCAACCTACTTATCAAAATAGGCTAATATTAATTAAGTTTGGAAATACGCTAAAGTTTAGAAGGAAAAAAAAAGTATAGACAGAAGAGAGAGAGAGAGAGAGAGTAGATAACAGTGAGAAGAAATAGAGGGGTAGGTTGGTTATTTCATACTTGTTATTAATGTGTTGATATTAGATTTTAGTCTAAAATCATCCATAATTTCCCGATGTTGATTATTGAAATACAAGAAAGTGAAGTGCTGATGAATACTTGAGAAGAAATAGACGGGTAGGTTGGTTATTTTATACTTGTCATTAATATGTACTGATATTATATTTTAGTCTAAAATCATCCATAATTTCTCGATGTTGATTATCGAAGTACAAGAAAGTGAAGTGCAGATGAATACTTAGGTAAATTACACTATTAGTTCTTACAGTTTAAATGAAATGTTAATTACACTATTAGTTTTTACAGTTTAAATGAAAATGTCACATTAATTCATTTAATTAGTTTTAATTTGAACAATTGACTATATACTTCTAATTTTGTCACAATGTAGTTCCTCCGCCACGTGTCGTTA